TCTAAAATATCTTGTTCAAACCTTGCCTGAATCCTGACTTGATTTAATCCTTTATAAATGCCCATTAACTGTGCTCTCCAACTATCCTTTAGTATATTATTTAGATCCCAGAGGAATCCTACAAAGTGTATGCAGGACGGAAATTCTTTTGAATGATACTTCTTCGTATTGAAAGATTTCTGAAGATGGGCCAGATCCTGCTGCTGTTCAAGTCAGTAGGTGTTTTGCCACTGACCTAATGGGATTTGGATGAGCTCCTATTTCTTTAGGACTTGATTTACTGTAAAAGAATCCTAACTTATCATAGATATCATGTTAAACAGAACCAGAGCCTCGTTCTGCTCTCAGTTGCACTAGTTTCAAACTGATGTAATCCTATTGGCTTGTACTAAGCTGTGTCAAATTTACACTCGCATAAGTGAGCGCAGATCAGGACCATTGTGCCAAGAAAGGTTCTTCTCCCCCCTCCCCCCCCCGACAACCCTGTTAATTATTGCTGTCAGCAATAAAAAGAAAACAAATAAATTGGAGACTGTGTGCAAGTCATAGGACCAGAACATAAATACGCATGACATGCAAAGGAGTAAATAACACTGATGCTTTCTTTAGAAATGTTCTCAGGCAATACTACTTAATCATGTCTTACAGAAATGACATGAAATACAACTTTACGGGTAAGTCTGCTACTTCACACACGTTCTGGAGGGACACCGCTGTGTGTTCAGAGATACTGTCCTCCTAAAGGGAAATTGATGGAAGAACAGTTGGTAGTATTTGTTTTCCCATTAAAGCATAAACAGGAATGTTTTTTCATTCAAAACCATTTTACAAATTTTTAAATTTGTATTTTTTTCCAATTCAGATGACCCCCTGCAGTGCTGGGAACTCAAACACAATAGCATTGTGATAGTGTGTGGAAAATCAGGTTGTGAAACTACTAACGGAAGTCCGTCTCCACAGCTGGTGTAGGCCAATGCAGTTCCATTGACTTTCCTGGAGTGATGCCAACTTACATGAGCTGAGGATCTGGTCCAGAAGAAGCAAAACCCACCAGTGTAGTTTCACTGGGAAAGCAGAGAGAATTCCCCCCAAAATAAACACATAGGATTAAAGAGAAACAAGTACCTTAGAGCCAAATCGTGTTGCCATTATAGTCAATACAGGTTTTCCCATTGATTTTAGTGGGGTAGGAGTAATGGTCCTGGTCTTGTATACCATCCATCCTACGGTCATACAAACCTGATGTAATATCATCCAAGGGGCTCTGGCTGTCCCACTGCTTGCTCACCAGTGAGCTTGGCTTCTCTTCTCTCCCCCCGCCCCATATCATTCTTGATCAAAACAAACAAAAACAAGGATACATAAAGAACTTGCAGTAGGCCCCACCAAACCAAATGAGACTTTGAATGAGAAGATTAAAGGAAGTCACAAGATGGGATCACAGATTCACATCTGACAAGGGCTAACCTAAGACGTGGGAATTTCATAAACAAACATAGAACACTTCCATTCAAAAGTTTCAGAATCAGATTATTTTAAACATTTATTTAGAAGTTAGGAGAAAAACTTGACCAGTTGAAATCATTCAGTCTGTTGGGACCTGATCCAAAGCCCATGGAAATCAATTAAAAGAATCCCATTTAGTTCAATAGACCTTAGGTCAGGCTCTTCAAAATATAATTACAGAAGATGTAGGTTCTCTAGAACTAAAAGGTGAGTTACTACAATTGAGATCATACTGAGTGTGTGAGATGCTGCAGATATTACTTTTGGAGGACTTGTTTTGTTTTTAATTTAACAAACAAAAATGTTAATCCCACGGTTACGGGTGACCACTCCATCCTCTGTGCCTAGGCCCAAAATCGTGGGATTTGAATGTTGGCATGCCAAAGAATGCCATTGTATTCTTCTTGAGCACAGAGGCTGCAACGAACATCAGAGGTAAAAGGGTTAACTTTGGGACATCAAAACTTCAATAAGCATGTACCAAGAACACGCGGCAGCATTGGGAGTGCATTTTTCATGGTGTGTTTAGACTGTTAGGCAGCAGTAAAGTTTTTAAAAATGTCTTATCTTTCCCCCTGCTTTCATTTACTGATATGATGAAAGTGTGAGTATTGTGGTTCTCAACCAGGGGTACGTGTATCCCTGGGGGTTCTTAGAGGTCTTCCAGGCGGTACATCAGCTCATTTAGATATTTGCCTAGTTCTACAACAGGCGATATAAAAAGCACTAGCGAAGTCAGTACAAACTAAAATTTCATACTGACAATGACTTGTTTATACTGCTCTATATACTATACATTGAAATGTAAGTATAATATTTATATGCCAATTGACTTATTTTATAATTATATGGTAAAAATGAGAAAGTCAGCAATTTTTCAGTAATACTATGCTGGGACACTTTGTATTTATATGTCTGACTTTTTTTTTTTTTTTTATAAGCAAGTGGTTTTTAGGTGAAGTGAAAATTGGGGGTACGCAAGACAAATCGGACTCTTGAAAGGGGCACAGTAGTCTGGAAAGTCTGAGAGCCACTGCTATAGGTTCTGTAGCGTACAAGCTGGAGGTCCATGGAGAGCTGGTCACATGGTTCTAGCTTTGGAGCCTGCAGGATTAGGGTTAGGTGAGCTTTCTGGTGAGGTGCTAAGTTCTCTCACTGAAGTAACACTGAAGTTGAGGATTTTAATCACCTCACAAGAATGGTGAATAACTCGTAGGGCTGAGCCCACCCTGAAGAGCAAAAGCAGACAGTGTAATTAATTCCATTTAAAAAAAAGAATACTTGTTGCACTAGATTCTGAGTTCAGAGCAGGTACAGTCCTTTGTAAATGACTGAAAAGTGCCTAGCATGTAGTAAGTACTACTGCAAATAAATAATACTGCTAATAAAGACCGTGACAGTACATAAATACTTTCCTATTACTGTTCTGCATAAGCAATTACTGTCATTGCCACTGGGCTGAAATGCAATCACAAACAGATAGAGATGTGCTGTTTGTTACGATGTAGTTTGCAGTATGAAAAGTTTGAAAGCCTCTGCTCTAACCCATGCTATTCAGGCATACAGGCATACAGGAAATGTTGCCGACTACTGTTAACTCTGCAGCCTTTGCTAATGACATAAAAAAACCAGCCGACGTCTTGTAACATAGAGGATAGGTGGTATTTAGATTCAGGATCCTATCCCTACAAGCCTAAACCATCCTTTTTGAGAGATGACAGTAGTTACTTATGATATAAATAGAAACTCACCCTGAGATCACTGATCAAATTCTATCCGCACTTGGGGCCCACTGAAATCAGTTGGACTTGCAGGTGGTCAACACATCTCCGGATCTGGCCTGCAAATATTGTCCAAGATACTTAAAATTAGTTTTCTCCTGTATTGTTAGAAACCCAAACACCCAGGACAAAGATCACAAGGAGAACCTAGAGAAAGGTTGGGTTGAGATACTGAAGGAAGGCATGAAGAAGGCTGGTTTGGAAAATACACTTGGAGACAAAGACTTGATGGGACAAGGTGACCCCCGATTGATGGCACAAGGTGAAGAAGAAGAAGAGTTTAACTTTTGCAAATCCATCTTAAATCCATCTACACTGGGCTTATATAAAATTAAGTTTACATTGATTAGGACAGGTTTTAAGCTAAGCCAAAATAAGCTTCTTTTAAACTAAAATAAGTGAGTCCAAACAAGGTTGTTGTGGGGTTGTTTTTTTTTTTTTTTGGTTTAACCAAATTTGGTTTAAAAAAATGGAAACTGGTGAAACTTCTGTGCATAGACAAGCCCCTAAACAAAAGACTACATTCTGGTATGTCTCCTCGGAAGAGTGCTGAAAAAGGGAGTGGAGCAGAGCAACTAGCTGAAGGTTTTTCTGAACCTTTCTGCCTGTGAAGGGCAAATAAGGCATAGTGGCCCATGGGACGTCAGGGAGCGCACTAAGCAACGGATGCTTCAAAAACAAGCTGCTTCTGCTCATCTGCACCTGCTAGTAGCAGGTGTTCAAGGAGCATGGCAAGTTGGCTATGCCCCAACTTTCCTGTCTACCCCAGATATATCTGTGGAATGTCATTGGACACACTAGCTGACCGACATGGAATTTTAGGAGTAGTAGGGGCAAAATTTTGCCTGGATCCTGTGTGTTCTCTACCTACACAGGATTATCCAGAATTCGATCCCAAAAGTTAGTATCCCTCTATCTAGTATCTGAGCACTTTCCATGTAAAACCAATAGCCAAGCCCATGGTAGGCTTGATGGAATCTCTGGCATTTCTCCCTTTTTGAGTTATAACTGTTGTGTTGAGTTAAATTTTACAAATAAATAAACTGTCTAGTTTTGCTGTATTAGCTGAATGAAGTCCAAAATGTAAACAACAAGCATAAATGGAGCCATATAAACTAAGGCCAAGGTTTCCAAATCTGAGCGCCTAAAGTTAGGCCCTAAACGTTTAGCCCGCTAAATTAGAATCCTGACTTTCAAAAATGGCGAGCCAAGCAGCTTCCATTGACTCCAGTTGGAGTGGCGAGTGCCCAACACCTCTGACAACCAGGCCATTAATTTAGATGCCTTAATATGGATTGAGGGAGACTAACTTTAAGATTTCAAATTTGAAAACTTTCAGCTAAATTTGAAGAAGACGCATGTCCCAGTAGTTAGAGTTCTAGCCTTGGACTTGAGACCTGCTCATTCACAGACTTCCTCTGTGACCTTAAGTAAGTCACTTAGCCTATCTGTGCCTCAGTTCCCATATGTAAAATGGACATAACAGCACTGCCCTACCTCACAGGAGTGTAGTGAGGATAAACATTCTTCAGAGGGGTGTTGTAGGATTGTGAGGCACTCAGGTGCTATGGGGCCATATAAGTACCACAACGAGGTTATTACATTTTAAAACTTATTTTATTTTAAGGTGCTGCTAATACAGATAGGACATTGTTGTTTGGAAAAATAAGATCTTTATCTTGACATTGTCCCTTTAAATCTAAACCTTTGCAGGTCTGTGTGGTGGCCTTAGTGGGAACGGTGATGCTTTGTGTTTCATATCAGCCTGAGGAAAAGACATGTTTCCAGTTTGCCATAAAGGTACAGTATAATTTTTTTTATCTTGATATATATAAAATCACAAGCTGCTGTACTGGATAATTTCCCCATATAAAAGAAAGCCAGATTGTGCTTGAAATTTGCAAAAATGTAACCCTTAGATTGGCAGTCTAGAAAATGCCAACAATCAAACAAATGCTTAGGAGGATTTATACTATACCCTGCATATCTGCAGTCTGTGTAAAAGAGGAATTCTAGGTCAAGATGTGCTGATAAATACTTTATTTTCAGGTAAGAGCCTATTTTATCTGCAACATTTTGGGGAATATCAAAGACACTTGGATAAATGGGCTCAAAGGTTCAAAAACTGAGGGGGTTACTGGGTAAGGGGAAACATCACAGTTATCAGGATAAGCGAGAATTCCATATTAAAGGGATTCAGATAAATAGGGATTTACCGTATCTATTTCTGACATTTTATGATTGATTTCAAGTCCCGCCTAGTATGCAGTTTCCCTCTTACCATAAAATTAGATGATGACTGCATGTGCATGTGCAAGTCAAAAGGCTTGGGGGAAGACCCCTACTTGCCGGCCCACCCACCCACATACCAAAGATATATAGTAAACCCATCTAAACTATGTAGCCTTTCTTCATATTGTGTCAGGTATCACAGACATTTAGTCAGTGTTCCAAGGATGAAATCCACCCCTATGCATAGGAGCAACACAAGGACAACGCACCACTGATATCCCATTTAAGTTCTCAAAACAGCACTTGCGTGGTATTTATGGCTTCCATTGGCCTCATATTGACCCTCTGCATGAAGATGAATTTCACTCTGAGGCACACCAAATTTTTTTTTCCAGTGGGAGTGTTGTAGCAGCTTTTCTCCAGATTACTTTTATTTCTAAGGCTCTTGTTATTGTGCTGGTGTGGAATAATAAGTGGAAAGAATTAAATGGAAAAGGAAAATGAATAAAAGTCAAGGGGAAGATTTGAAAAGACACAGGAGGCAGAGCTACCTGCACCAGATAGCACTTACACTGGTATAAAGTGCGGCTCTGATATCCTTTAGCCCTTCTTCATGGGCTTATAGTTCAAGCTGCTCTAACTCTTAGAAAGGGCTCTCTATTAACTTCTGCAGGGTTTTGGAGTACCTTCTATGGAATCTGACTGGTTTAATCCTTAAGAGTTCAGGACTTTCCCATGCAGGACACAATGCATCTTAACTGAGTTGTTGTTTATTTCCCTGACGTGTAACAAAAATATAATTTTCTTATCAGTAAATATTTTAAAACCTTTCCTCCTTTGGGTTCATCATGTAGGAAAATGTATGTGACCTGCCATTCACTTTACCTAATCATGGTATGTCACTTCCCCCATTCCTTCCTTTCTCCTTCTATTTAGATAGCAATCACAGGGCCTGTATATCTCTCAAGTGGTGAAAAACATTTTTCCGGGGACAAATTCCAGCTCCTTGGCAGAACTCCCTAAGCAGTTGTATTTGCTGTTTTGGAGTTGCCTCTGGGTCTGTCATGTGATTAGCCTGCTGATGGGATCTGTGCACTCACTGCCTTGTGCTCCTTCCCAGGCAGCACTTTCTTTGGACTCACCTTTGATATTTAGAAATGTGTTCATTTTCATCTGTTTGCGAAGGAAATTCCTCTGCAAACACCGCCTGAGGATAATAGCTATTTGTCAATTGCCTAATGCCCCCATATGACTCTGTGCATCTCAGCTGATTGCTACAGGGGCTGCCTGGAGATTTTTGCATTTGAAAGGAAACCTCAGATTTCCTTCATGTATGGCATCATTTTAATTCATGTATTTATCTTGGTGCATAACATGCAAATACATGTGACCATACCAGAAGTACTGTCTAGATTATTGATTGATTTGATGCCATTTTCCATTCACTTTTTGTAGGTGTTGATATCTGCATGCAGTGCAAATCAATGCAGAATCAGAGCCGTGGTACATACAGGCTTAAAAATGCATGTAATGAGGTCATATTCTACTCTCCATTCCATTCAGTGGGGTTGCCACACATTTACATCAGGATAATCGATCAAAATTGGTTCCCTCATGAATATCAACATTAATGCAATTATCTGTTGCCAGCATGCTTTTCCCTTTAAAAATGTTTACGTCATCTTTTGAAATATTATCACATGTTCATAAATTACCATATATCTTTGTGTAGAGGCTGCCCTCAATTAATAGCTGCCCCCTTTACCATGCAGTTTTTAATAGGAGCTGTCCTCATTTTGTAAATTCACTTTTACTGTGGGCCTTTTACCATGAAAGCTTCAGGGGAAATGTAATTAAATTTAATAAAAGCCACCTTCATTTAGAAATTGCCCTAAGTTTAAGGCTGCAGGGAGAGTCATTAAACTTAATAGAAGCCATGGCTTCTAAATGAAGATCTAGATATCTTGAATTCAGTTATTTTGGGGACAGAAGGGATATATTGCTTTGATATCTCCTATAGCCCTACTATATTTTCCCCCAAACTGACACATGTAGGGGAAGATAGATCTACAGTGTGAATCAAAGACAAATATACCCAGAGAGCTGATTTTATCAAAACATACATCCCTAGAGCTTCACGGCAATAAAAAATGCTTATGTATTGACAGTTTGCTTATGGTGCAGAGGTTTAATAATAATAAAAAAAAGCCTCTTTATTTAAAATAACAAATTCCCAACCATGCCATGTTGCTGACAGATAGGTAAGAAGCCAAGAGAAATAAATGTCTCCATCCTGCTCAGCAGAACCAGAAATGATATTGGCACCATGCACAGTTATATTTGAATATATATATTCCCCAAAAGTAGTGTGAGTGCAATACAAAAATTGCCAGATCCAGAACTCAAATGTCAGGAAATTCCATACCATATAATAATCAAAGCTCCACTCCTGCAACCTGAAGTGATTGGGGCTCTGAATGATCTCACAGTGATATCAGAATTCCATCCACATGGAGCAGATTTCAGGACCAGGCCCCAAATAATTACATTTCCCTCTGGGACTAAAGAAGGACTCTCTATCCTTTTTATTGCATGCAAGTGGCAGCCGTAGAGAGTAATGGGAACTTAACTTCCTTCTGTGCCTTTGAAATCTTCTCTTTTACCTTCCTGGGCCAGATTTCCAAAGGGGCCTCTGTGTGAGGCACAAATTTACTCTTATAAGTTTGTGTGCCTGTTTTGTAGTAATCATTATTTTCCACATGGAACCTCAGATGAGTTCAAGCGAAGTGCCCTAGCTGTCCCCACTCAGGTTATTAGACACCTAGCTGTCCAATATGCCTGCACGAGTCTGATTCTTTTCTGTGTGCAAAACATAGCCATGAGTAGATGCATAAACAAAGTTGTTCCTGTAATTTTAAGAGACCCTTTATGTCAGTGGCATAATGACAGCACTTTTTGTAAGCACCACCGCTTGCCATTAAATATTTGAGGCTAGCGCCTCAGCTGGTATAAATCGCTGGGGCTCCATTGACTTCAGCAGAGCAACACCAAGTTACCTTACCTGAATATGTGGCTGTTGCAACTCTAGTCAAAGCGGCATGAACAATACCATAAAAGTGACCCCTGCTCCATTAAGCATGCAGCTTCGTAAAAAGTTAGACTCCTTGATATTATTTTTAACAGGTCTGTTCTAAAAATTATATTCCAACCCTCATATGAAGTAAGTCAAATATGCCTTTGGAGGGCTGATGTACTTGCAACTGCTTTTAGCCTCACAGGTCGGCATCAACCCAGAATTACATATTTATTGCAACTCATGAGCATGAAATGTATAAACCGTCCCTCACATGCACACTTTCACTGGAAAAATCGGTGCATGTGTTGGTTATATGCCCCATTCTCTGTGTAGCTGGAAAAGAATGTTTTTCTTTTTTGCTTTATTTCAGCTGATGTACTTTCTACTGAGCACCCTGAGTCTGATTACCTGTGTTCTGGCAGTGGCTTTTGTTGCACATCATTATTCACAGATTACACAGTTTACCTGTGATGCCGTCCTCGACTCTTGCCAGTGCAAACTGGACACTTCAGATCCCCTCAGTAGGACCTTCGTTTACCAGGATGTAGCTGACTGTACCAGTGTCACTAGCACTTTCAATCTGTATCTGCTACTGCAGATGGTTCTTAATCTGATCACAGCCATTGTGTGTTTGTTGGCATGCTTTGTGATGTGGAAACACAGATATCAGGTCTTTTTTGTGGGCGTTCGGTTACACTCATTAACTGGTACTGAAATCCAACAACAGAAAGTATAGGGGGGTGGTTTTGGTTTGTTTTATAGAGAGTGAATAACAAATGTCAGGCTATTACCACCGTAGAAACTGCAAATAGATGAGTGTTTCAAGATTTTTTTTGACAAAGACGACCATTCACACATTTTTAATGAATATATTTATATTTTTCAGTCACTTGAAGAGCAATTTTTACGGTCGCTATTGCCAAGGGCCCTTGTGGGAAGAGCTAGATGTATCACAAAAATTCTAAAGGTGTGGCTGTACAAATAGTCTCCAAAGAGCATCTTTAATAGGCATAGACAAAAGCAGTTTTGATAATTACTGGGATTCCTCTGCTGAGCTATATATGGTAACAAACAATGGGCCAGATTCTTGGTTGGTGTCAATCTGTCTGTTCCATTGACTTCAATGGAGCTATGCTGATTTACACCAACTGAGGATGGATCTGGTCCAGACTGTTTAAGTGAAATTATTCCGGTCATGCTTAGGGAGTTGTGCTCTTGGATATCCCACATTATCATTACTTGGATTTACTTTATATGTGTGAGCAGCGAGGGAAGGTTGAGACCCTTCCAAATGCAAACTAAGACCAGCAACGAATGAGAATCTATTGCTGGTAACAGTATAAACTCTAGTCAAGGTTTTCAAAAGGGCCTAATGAGATCCCTTAAAGGGGCCTGATTTTCCAGGAGTGATGCTCAGCATTTTCTGAAAATCAGACCAATGTAAGGTCCCTCAAGCTGGACACCTAACACTGAAGCTCCCAAATAGCTAGTCGCTTTTGGAAAGCCTGTATCAACATGATTGTAATAGCACTGCATACAAAAAGGATGTTTACCCAATTACTCCAGTTCTACTTTCCTCCAAGTGCAGCAGGCCAAATGCCTTTTTGGCGTACTTCCTGTGAAGACAATAGAGTTGCACCAGGGATGGTTTTGGCCCCAAAACTCTGAAAGATATATCACTGCATAAATAGAAAGGGGGGGGGGGCCGAGAAGGTATTGCCAGTGTCCTTAGAACATAATCTACGAGTACAAGAGCACAATGATTTCCTAATGAGTGGTGGTGAAGATAATCAATCATTCATTGCAAACTGCATTTAAATAGTGGTTTGTATCCCAAAAGTTAGGATCCAAAAGTGCTTTACAGTTTATGGGCCTGATTCTCTACTGATTTGCTCCTTGTATAGTCATTTGCGTCTCTGTAAAGTGGATACAAAACTTCTGAGAGTGAACAAAGACTTCTGATTTGGTAGTACTTTGCACACATTCATTTGCACGGATGCACAAAGGGCAAGGGCCAAGGCAGTGGAGAATCTTGCCCTGTATATCTAGAGATCCCTCATCCCGTCTGAAGTGACTCCACCATTTGGGTGCAATAAAGCCATCATTGTGTATCAGCAAAACTGTACAACAGCTTCTGTAGGAAGGGGAGGGAGAATAACTTAAGAGGTAGCATTTTCAAAAGTGCCTACATGACTTATGTGCTTCAGTCCCAATTTCAAAAGTGATTTAGGCTCTTAGGAGCATAAGTCCCCTTGACTTGCAATGAGACTTAAGCTTCCTAGGTGCTTATGTCACTTTTGAAAATGTGACTAAGGCTCCTAAGTCACATAGGCTGAGACCTGCAAAGGTATTTGGACACCTACCACCCATTGAAGTCAGTGGGAATTAGGTGCCTAAATGCCTTTGGGCATCTGGGTCTTCACCACTTATCAAAAATGTTAACTCCAAAAGTGTAATATTTTTGAGACCAGCCTCAACCTGGCCTCCCTTTTTGTGCCCACAAACCTACAGGCACAAGTACTTGGGGGTACAATTTTGCATCAGCATTAACTGTGCAGGTAAACTGGTGCACTCTAAACAGCAAATCTGACTCCCAAATGGTCTTCAAATAAAGTTGTGGTAATGCCAACCTTGGGAAGAAGCCAGGTACAGTGGAATTCAATCAAAAGAATTGATTCGGGGTCCACCACCACCACCATTTGGGGACCGATCCATCTCTCCTTGATGTTAGTGGAAAGTATCTTATTGATGTCAGTGGGAGTTGCTTGATCCATACATCTGAATAGCCATTGCATGTGGCTCCAGGGAATATTTAGCGTCCCAAAGGAGACGCGTATGTGGAAGTAACCTTTCCTCCTTTCCAGCACAGTCCAGAGACAGAAAAGAGGGCAGGGTTCACCCCTCAAAATGGGGGGCCCCTGGAGATCCAGAGGATGGGGCACCACAGCAGTCCTGACAGCTCGCTCTCAGGGCTGCTCCGTTTCAGCTGTGGGGTAACATTTTTCAAAAGGGACTTAGGCACTCAGGAATCTCAGTCTTGTTCATTTGGGCACTTTTGAAAATGCTACCTACAATTTTTGGTGGGAAATACAAGCATTTTATTCCCATTGTTCAAAAGATGCCTTTATCCAGGCTGGTGTCTTACCAAATGTCCAGGGGATTTTATTGGCCAGGGAAGAAGTAGTGGGGGTGAGAATAACTGAATTATTTTAGTTTTGTGAAAAGGGTTTTGTTAAACTGTTTTAAAGGGGTTTGCTCAAAGAGTGAGAGCTGCTACCACTAAAGCCGGCACCCTTTGGTATCTCTAGCACTCTCAGTGGCAAGGCCAAGGACTGAATAGACATGGAGACTGACCAACCCTCTCACTCCACACGAGGCTGAGTGGCAATGCAGGATGGGAAGTTTGATCATCTGCTGCCTGTGCCATATTTCCACTATGGCTAAATGGTCATTCTACAGCTCTGTCAGTTTTAATCCTTTGACCTTCATCCCAATCCCTTATTTTCATGTTTTGTTCACTGCAATCTCTTAGGTCCTGCGCCCTGTGCCTCCTCCCTCATGTGAAGGGGCGGCGGGGGGAGGCGACCTGCTGCATAGAGGGCTCCAGCCACAATCCAATGATTTAAATAGGTTGGCACCCTTCAGCACCACTGAATCCATCAGAATGATGAGGGACAACACAGACTTGCTGTGAAAGATCTGAGGGTGGCTACAGAAAATACAATGAATGTATTGGAAAAAATGCCTGTTCCCTAGAACTCTGTGTATTCTAATAGCAGCCCACCTATATTTTTAAACTACATAGTAAAATTCAGTATGTTAAACAGTGCATTGCAGCTTAACCCTTTGCTCTAAAAGGGGGAAAAACCCAATATTGATCATGTATATTATTAAAATATTTACTGCTTAATAGCTATTTTGAACTAGCAAATTATAACTTCTATCTATCATACATCCAGAACATAGAGGTTATACCAGGAAACAGCCACAGGAGCTATTTTGAACCAGCTGTCTCCTGGCCGTGGTTTTACAATATGCATTTTGTTCCAAACATGAAATCCAGAGAACTTTGATAGAGCAAAAATAAGAAGTTCTTTATCTAGAGTCTTCAGAAAGTGGCAGATCCTGCTCCAGTGAAAGCGAATAGGAAGCAAAAATTCACCTGGACTTCAATGGGAGGATGATTGGGACCTAAAGCTCTTGCAAACTATCAAAGAGGTGTGAAGGAAAAAAAATCAGTCCTGGTAATGAATCCTCTGGAAAAGCCCACTAAAACTGGATAGTGATTAAACCAATATGGTTGCACAGGAATTGAGAAAGGTTTATATAGTCTACTCTCAAAATGTAGACCTGATTCTCATTTATACTATCGCCACTTTCCATTGTTCTGTCAGTATAAACGGGCCTTAAAGAGAGCATAAATTACATTTGTGGTCACTTTATGGCCCCTTTATACTGCTAATGGGCCCTTACTGTACATGAAAATTTCATGGAGAATGAGATCTTTCTATAGCCTGTTTCAGACCATTTTACAGAACTATAGTGGTGGGGTATAATTCTCCATTGCATTCTATTGCCAAGCTTAAGATCTTCATTCTCTATTAAATTCAGTTGGACTTTTCCATAAGGCTGGGGCCTGGTTCTTTAATCCCTTAGTCATGCAAGCAGTCCCCAGAACACATGTAAGCAGGGATGTTTCATGCATAACATATAAAAAAGCATCAGCTTTGCTCTGGGTTTGAGGTATTTTGATGTATTATGCAAATACTGGAGTTATAATAAGGACAACAAAAAAGGAACTGAGATACATAGCATAATTCTTAGCAAAATGTCACATTCTAAAACTGACCATGAACCAAGGCAGTGACTGTTTCTTATAAGCCATAAAACGCTGAGATTTGCACAATCCTCCTCCACTAGTACTAAAATGAAACTAGACTTTGGAGGAAGGGGAACTGCCACGATTTGGCTTTACGTGACAGATGAGGAACACAGCAGCCGAAACATACAGACATTGTAAGCAAGCCCACTATCTGACTGTGCCTTCACGTGATCACCATCTGAGCCTTGCCAGCTCCATTTAGCTCTGTGAGGGCAGCTTCTTGGAGCTTTGCCTAAAACAGAGAGCTACACAAGAGCTCTGGAAACTGTAGTTAAGTACTAGGACTAACTTTTTCACCTACTGTGTCTGCTAAATTGTATAATGTTGCCTTGGGGCTTCTAAAATCAGAAACCATTATGTTTGTGTGTTAGAAGCCGCTATGCATATATTCTATATTTAAGCCTGGGATGTCAGGTCCCCTTGAAATTTTCATACACTCCCTCCATACACCCACACATGCTTATGTCTGGAAAATGTTTTTAGATATTAGTAAAGTGTGTGGGTAGGGGGGTATTCAAGGGAGACACTGAGGAACAACAGTAAAGCGCTATTTAAGCATGAAGTTTAAAAACCTCCTTAAGGAGATAGAACACTATTGCCAGTACGTACATTGTGGCTTTCTATAATACTTATACTATATATATATATAGAGAGAGAGATAATGTGTGGACCAGATCATCAATTAGGGTAAATCAGCATAACTCTGGTGAACTCAAGAATCTGGCCCTGCATCTTCCTGTATCATAAATCATAAGAGAACTCCATGTTTTTACTCTGTTAATCAAAGATCTCTGACCAGTTATAACAGGTTGGAACTGTATATTTAGCTAACTTTTGCTGACATTTTTACAAAGCTGTATCTGTTACTAACATGTGCTTACCTTAGCTTGCTACAGGTGCTATAGTTATCTGGAATTATTAATTGTGATGCCTTCTTATGTCAAGTCTATAGTTATTACCATAGCATTTTTCCCCCCTGCAATTCCCAGTGATCACTAATGTTTATCCACTTGTACAATTCAAATCTGTAGTTTGAAAGTTCAGTCTATACAAATATATACAAATATAAACAAAGGTTTGTATTGTTTGGGGGGGGGGTATTGGTGTGTGTAATGTTATGCCTTTGTCTGAAGAAACAGTTAAAAGATTCATTTAAATGTATTTTGGGTTGGTTTTATTTAAAAGGAGATATGTATAATGCATATTTCATGTGTTAACATAATGCTTCCATATTCCGTGAAGCTGTCTACATTTGAGCACAGCTATTAAAGTGTGCTTAAAGTGACTGATTGTAGATAGAGTATGAGCTGAGATACATCAAAACTCACAAATTAGTGTCTACTTTAAAAACTGGATTCTCAGCTGACAGGAGTTAATGCTCATTTGCGCTCCGATATTCCTGCCACTGTCTCCAGGTTAGCACATTGCATAAATGTTAGAAGGTTGGGTTGCTAATGTGCAGACAAATGGGAACAGAAAGTGAGCTGGGGGAATAATCTGCAGAAGGTGACTTGAATACACACACATCCTTCAGTCAGATCTATTATGAATGACAAGCACTGTGCTGACCTCAAGTTACTGGATGTATGGAGAATGACACGGATTAAGCCAGAGCTCAGCAGCATTGAGGGCCCTGGTTATATTAGAAATGGAATATTTTAGCAAGCCAGTTTTCATCTGAGCTTCACTCAGTTGTGCAAAGAGAATCTTCTCTGAAAAGTTCCAAAGTTAATAGAATACGGATATAACACAGGATTTCTCCTTTGCCAAAACTGTACCTAAAAGAAATCTATACTGAATATTTTCCCTATACTCAGCTGCTCCTGGTGGATACAGCTAGAATGGGCTTAGTAGTGAGCTCTCCCTTAAAGAAGCCTGTCAGTTTGGGATCCAGTTTTGCCTGGCATGCATCTGCATGGCTCCCATAGATTTAACTGGGAGCTTTGAGGGGAAGAGAGTTTCCATCTCTTCCTTCCTGGTCATGTAAGTGATGATGCTCTGCAGCGTGCTGCAAATCCTCATTGAAAAATAGCCCTGATTCTGACACAGGGCCATCGTCAGCCCATAAAGATGTATATGCAACTCGTGTGGACTTAAATTGGAGTTACACATATGTATAGAAAGGATCTCCAGGTGTTTTCTGGCACGTTATGTTAAAATCAACAGAAGGCAATATTAAAAGGGCAGTGCCAAGTACTTTTTGCCCCAGATTTAGACTGTGTTAAACAATTGGGGGTGGGGGAGGTTGAATGGGGGGAAGAGTTACAAAACTTGATGAGCCTTCAATGAGCGTTGCAGATGCTTAACACCTCTTGGGTATATGGCCCAATGATAGTGTAAGGGCCAGATCCTCAACTGATGTGA